GGCACTGTCCCTCAGCTCTTCAGCTCAAGGCTAGCACTCTACCACTTGAGCCACAGCACCACTTCTGGCTTTTTTCTTTTTGCTTATGTTGTGCTGAGGAATCGAACCCAGGGCCTCAGGCATGCAAGGCAAGCACTCTACCACTGAGCCAACTTCCCAAAAAAATAAAATGCTGTACAGAAGGAATACCATATCAAAAGTTAGGTCATGAGTGCAATTTCTAATTTTGGGGGCTTGAACTCAGAACCTGGGTACTGTCCCATAGCTTTTTTGCTCAAGGTTGGCACTGTACTACTTGAGCCATAGCTCCACTTCTGGCTTTTGGGTGGTTAATTGGAGATAAGACTTTCACATGAAGGGTAAACAAAGGAGGAGACTGCAATGCTTGATAAGAAATGTACTCATTATGTTGCCCATGTGATTGTAACCCCTCTGTACAGTATGTTCACAAAAAATAAAAATAAATTAAAAAATGATAAAAAGAAAAATAAACTTACAGTCAAACAAAGGAATACCAGGAAACTGGTATTTGAAAGGTAGAGTGTCAAGGGTAATGAATGAAGAAAAGAAGATTGTGAGAATCGCCGGGCGCTGGTGGCTCACACCTGTAATCCTAGCTACTCAGGAGGCTGAGATCTGAGGATCGAGGTTCAAAGCCAGCCCGGGCAGGAAAGACCGTGAGACTCCTCTCCAATAAACCACTAGAAAACCGGAAGTGGCGCTGTAGCTCAAGTGGTAGAGCGCTCGCCTTGAGCTGAAGAGCTGAGGGACAGCGCCCAGGCCCAGAGTTCAAGCCCCACAACCGACAAAAAAAAAAAAAGAAAGAAGATTGGGAGAAAGTAGTCATAATATTCAATGAATAGCCTTCAAAATTAAGAAAATTGAGGGGAAGAGTTGGGTTGGGAAAGATAGGGGAGAATGATGAAAGGGGTGATATTTATAAAAATGCGTAGTATGCATAAGCTGTTTTGTTGATTGTTAACTCTTTTGTACAACTACTGAATCATAATAAAAATATAATTGTAAAAATAAAAGACTTTCACAGACTTTTCTGCTTATGATGGCTTTGAATATCAATTCTCAAAACTCAGCCTCCTGTGTAGCTAGAATTATCAGTGTGAGCCAATGATGGCACAGCAGCATTCTCTATTTTGTACAAAGATAAACCACAGGCAAGTAGGAGACCTAAGACAACCAGAAGCCATGAAGAGCAGAAATAATTTTCAGCAGGACACCACTGACAAGCCAGGGAGGCTATCCATGCTCAGGGTCTCAATACTTCTATCAACATCCCTCTTCCTGCCAAAAATTACCAGAGACTGATGCTGGAGATTCATTAGTTTAAACTTCAGGTAAGCAGATGTTTCATCTCCCAATCCCAATCCACGGGCTGGCCTAAAACCTTGTTTCCTAATTTCTAACCATCTGGAGCAGTGGGCTAGGAGTATATGTGCTTTTGTCCAATCCCCATCCTTTGGCTCTGAGGTCTCAGCTATGGTGGCCTAGTGAGCCAGAGGACCCACAGTCAACAGAAAGAGGTAAACAATACTTCAATATATGACAACTAGTAAGCTTCTATGAGAAGTAAAGAGGATTCCCCCCCCCCTTCCCTTGCTGCAAGTTGGTAGGGGTATGGGAAGAGCAGGGTCCTCAGTTCTCATCATCCATCAGTGCCCAGGTTCCCTGGGACAGAGGAGCAGGAGGAGTACTCAAAAAGGCTGGCACCCATTAAGGACACAATGACACTCACAGAGAGGCACCGCAAAAACTTGTTGGGATAATAACATGAATAGATTTAATCATTCTTGTTTGAAAAACAAGACATAAATTAGTGTATATATATAATTTATATATTTTATGTAGTATATATACTATGTACAGACATTAGAAAATGTTCCCTCTCCATGAGACTGAGGGAGAGGTGAATGATGGCGCTGGAATGACACAGGCAGAGACTGAGTGGCAAAGGTTGTAGGATCAAGAAGTTGGGGGAAGAGGAAGACCACGTCAGCACTGGGGCTGACAGTGGCTGTAGGGGAAAGGGTTCCCCATTGGCTGCATCTCTGGCCCATTAAACAACTTGGTCCTGGGGGAGGAGAGGCAAGGAAGGGTGGGCACTGCTTCTAGAGAAGGGACACCCCTCCTCCTTGCCAGGAGACCTTGCCACTCGGGGGCAGGGGTAAGGTTATTGCAGTAGGGGCTACCAAGATTGGGCAGGGGCTCAGCACAGTGTACATCTTTATAAAACTCACATAAGAACGAGAGATTTCACATGGGCCTCTCATAGAGTGATGAAAGAGAGGCAGACAAAGGGTATGGGAGGTGGGGTGGGCCACAGGGAGATATGGAGAGGTGGACAAGAAGCAATCTATACAGAAGAAACATTGGCTTTCTTTGTTCCCTACGGTGGGACCTTGGTAGGGACTCCGTGTCTTCACTCCCAGGAGGGTGGGGGTGGGGTGGGGTGGCAGCGGTGGTGGCAGTGGCGATGGCAGCAGTGGTGATGGTGGCAGCAGCGGCGGCAACAGATGTGTGTCAAGGAGGATGCTAAACAGTGTGAATTCCCTTCCAGATGGCTCCGGAGAGGGAGAGAGAGGTGCAGGAATGCACCGGGTAAGGCGCTCAGCTTCTTTTCTTAGAGAGACAAATCCACAGGGTCAATACACAGCCAAAAGCATATACTCAGGATTAACATATCACGCTAGCTTCCAGAAGTTTAAGATATAGTCATCAACACCCACCCCACCCCTGCCCCCCTCCCCCCACCCCCCACCCAATCCATAGCTAAGTCAAACTCCTAAGCACAAGTCTGTCTGGTAGAGATGTTGAGAGTGGAACTGCATGCCTCTGGCCACAGCCTGCACGCAGGGCAGAGCAGAGCTGGGCCAGGCAGGCTCCAAGATCTGCTCTGGGTGTCACCAGGGCAGACATTTTCACCAGGTATCTTCCCTAACACAAGGGGGTGATCCCAGAGGCCTGCTCCCTAGTGGACTGAGCGGCCTTGCCCATCAGTAAGGGGCAGGGCACTTTGGGGATGGCTGGTGTGGAGCTACTATACCTGGGGCGGAAGGCTCCCGATGCTGCCAGCCTGTTGGGCCAGCCACAAACAGCCAGGCCTGGCTGTTCTCTGTGCACATCCTACCTGTGCATGGGCCTCTGCAGTGGCTCCTGCCAGGTGAGTGTGAGCCCAGGATGGGCAGGTGCATCTGGACGGAGCACCCTCTCTTCTTGGCTCGGCACTTGGGCCGACTGCTACTGCTGCTGCTCCCTGCAGGGGAGCAGATGCCGGTAGGAGCTCAAGACTCCAGCTCTCTGGTGCCCACTTCAGAGCAGGAAGTGAGCTTGATGTCACCTCTCAGCTCCGGAGAAGAGAAGAGAGAAAATACAGCTCTGGAATGGGCGTAGTGGCGAGGGGCCTCTGCCCTCACAGTGACACCCAGAGGCCAGGCAACAGGGGGGAGGGGATGACCCCAGGGCGGCAGCGGCTAGGCCTGCAGCCCTTAAGAGAGAGCCTCAGTCAAAGGGAGTTTTCACTCCCTGGAGACTGATGGGCTCTTGGACCCTGACTGGCCCAGCAGACACACACACACACACACACACACACACACACACACACTCACCACAAGATGCAAGGACCACAAAGCTCAAACCTGGTGCCGTGGGTGGGGAGGGGCAGGCCTAAGCCAATGCCCTACTTAATAAGGGTTTTTAAGGAGCGGGTGAATGTGCTCATAACAGTCGCCGAAGTTGGGGAGCCTGGTGGGTGCCCCGTGGCAGCCTCTGTGGCTGCTGCTGCGTGCTGCTGTTGCTGCTGCTGCTGTTGTTGTTGTTGTTGCTGCTGCTGCTGCTGGCTGAGGTTCCGGGCTGTGGACTCCTCAGCCGCACGTAGGAGGAAGGTGTAATTCCTTACTACCTCTTCTACCTTGGCCAGCAGCTCTTGGCGCTGGGCCTCAGAGCGCACGATGAACACCAGCCGCACAAAGGTCTCAATGAGGCTGCTCAGCACCTGGAAACTGCCTGTGATGGCCGCCAGCATGTGAGTAGGGCTCTTGTCCACGTTGGCCACGCGGCGGCAAGAAGCTCGGAGCTCCTTGAATTTGAGAGCTAGCTCAAGCTTGTACTCAGAGATCTGGGAGACATAGGGCTTGGGGGCACGGGCCTCTGGGCTGGCCACACACTGTCGTAAGACTGTCAGCAGCTCATTGGTGTCCAGTCGGGCAGCCAGGAAGCCATCAGGGAGGCCATAGGCATGGGCTCGCAGGGCATTGATCTTGGCCAGGCTCCCTTCAAAGGTGGACACCCGAAGGTCAATCTCCTGAGTACGGGAAGCCTCGGGGCTGCTGCTGCTGCAGGTAGCGGCATCCAGCACCTGCAGGGTTCTGCTCACCACAGGTACTACCTGTTCATCCAACTTCATGCCAGGCAGAATCTTCATGGGGATGGAGTAGGAGAGCTCATCCTTGCCATCACTGGCATCATCGGCCATGTCGCACTTGCGGTAATAGAAGCAGTAGCGTATGGAGCAGCACTTGCCACTCTCACTGTCTTCATCCAGGTCCGCAGGCTTCCGGTATACCTCCTCTGGCAGTGAGAACACAGCCATCTGTCTGGGACCTTTGGTCTCAGGGGCTACCTGGACGTAAGAGGGGTCTCCCAAGGTCGGTGATTCCACAGACTTGCTTTTGGGACCCAAGGCGAGAGGGAGGCCTGCCTCTACCTCCTTGGCTTCCCTGGGCAGCATGCCCAGGGGTGGGTGCGGGTAGACATCCGAGGTCAGTGAGGCACTCTCACCTTGGTCCAGCTCACTGACACTGTAGCGGCGCATCAGTTTCCGGTAGTTGGGAGCTCCCAGACATTCACCCCCCGAGGCACACGTGGTCAGGCACGAAACACCACTCTCAGGATCTGATCGGCACTCTCGCGATTCCAGGCTGGTGGATCGGATGCGCCGGACATTGATAGGGCTGCTGAGGCTCAAGCCTGGGCCAGCCTCTGGCTGCCTCTGGGTAGGGGGGACTCTGTCCCTCTCCCTCCCACGGATGCCAGGTACCGGTGTCTGGGCAGCCTGGGGCCGGCCTCCTCGACAGATACGCTTACAGTCACAGCTCCGCCTCTGTTCACGGGACATGCCAGGTCCTTGTTGCACGGGGCTGCTACGAAGCTGGCAGCTGCAGCGGCCAGGTGCTGGAGGCTGCAGGTACTCGGTGCTCGGCAGCTCTCCCTGGCTTGGTGGCTTTAAAAGTTCCTCGAGGAATTCCAGCTCGTACTGCTTTACCTTCTGCAGCTGAGCCTGGCGCTCATCTGTCTCCTTCTTTTGGCGTGTGGGGAAGGTAGCTGAGAATAAATTGCGAAGTCGGAAAGGACCTCGGGATGACTTGGGCTTTGTGGGGCCTTCAGAGGCAGAGTAGGCTCCGTCCAGGGTGCTTTCAAGCTTTCTGGAAGGCATGGTGCTCACCTGCCGGCTGGCGGCCTGTGGCCTCAGTGGACTCTGGCCTCGAGGTTGGCAGCTGGGGCTCTGACCTCGGGACTGACTACTTGGACTGTGAGCACGGGGCTGGCAGCTTGGACTGTGGCTTCGGGACTGGCAGCTAGGGCTCTGCAGAGCCATAGGGTAGCCAGTTCGGGGAACCAGGCTGGTCTCCTCAAGCTTATTGCTTTTGGAGGTGCTCTCCAGTTGCCCCTTCTCCCCCTGGCTGGAACTGGTGCTCTGCTTGTGTAGGGGAGGCTTTGCCCCCTCTTGCCCGCCCTTGCCTGCCATCTCCCCTGAAGCTTGTTTGCCCATTGATTCCCGACTCGCTCGTGATACATAGCTCTTGGGAGGGAAACTTTGAATAGAAAGTCTGTCCTCTTGTGGAAAGAGGTGGAGGTTATCAGCCCGGCTGCCCATGGGTGTTCGGGGGCTGGCAGATGAATTCCGTGAAGACTCTGGAGCACCAGGGCTCACTTTAATCTTCGGATTCTTATTGGCACTGCTGCCCACTATGTTAGCTTCTGGCCTCCCCATACTGGCCTCCAGTCTTCTCTCACCCCTGCTAGGGGGATTCCCCAAAGCCCGGCTGGGTGTGCCTAGACCCTTACTGTGCACTACCTGCTGAAGGGCAGCTGAGATGATAGCTGGGGTCACACTGCCTTTTGGGTCCAGGATAAGCTTAGGGCTCAACCTGACCTCCTTGGGCAGGTTGTCCCTCAGCTCTGTGACCTGCTCTTCACCGAGGGTTGGTGTGGCTGCCCTCAATGACATCTCCATGCCTGCCCTGCTATGGCCAGGCCCTTTGTCCTCAGGAACTGGGGGCAGAAGGCTCAGATTCTTCTGCTCATTCAGCTGTGGAGACAGTGCCGGGTGCACTGCCAGGGAGTATGTTCGCTCTCCCTGTGCCTGAGCCTCGGATGGGGGCAGCTTTCTCCGAGCACCTGGAGGACCAGGACTCTGGCCTGTGACAGCTGGCTGGAGGGACGGGTTGGGATCCGGGCGCCCAAGAGAATAAGGGGCCGTGAGAACGGCCTGGGCTGCACAACTCTGGATCCGGAAGGGCAGGTCCTTGCGGGCAAGGAGGCTGTCCTTATTGAGGTGCTGAGCCAGGAAGTAGGTGGTATTCTGGTGCTGCTTCATGGCTGACATCATCTCTGACATGTCCGTGAGCTCTGAAGAGTTGGTTTCATGGCCCGAGTCCAGTGAGGATTCAGGAGTGATCGTGGCCAGCACAATCAGACCTGGAGGAACATGGATGGGATTGGTTATACTTACATCCAACCAGATGTAGAAGTTCATGGACCCCAAGGTTAGCCAGAAGTATTTCAAGTCGGAGAAAACCATTGAAGCCTGGGAGGACTGCAAGGTCCAGGGTGGGAGGAGCGAAGGGGAACGGGACAAAGAGGAATGAGATGTGAGAGGAGGTATAAAAGGCAGAAATCCAAAAGGATAACAAAAGAGGCAGAGAAGATGTGGGCCATTTGGTGGCAAATTGACATGCAAAGGCACGTGCTAATCAACACTATTTTTAGATTTAACAGCTAGGAAATTTGTTAATTGTCTTGAAGAGGGCTGGCAAAGAGTGGTCTCTTTTTATCCCTCCTCATCTGGCCAGGCCTCCGCATAGTTCTTGCAGCTGAGGCCATTTAGCTGAGCCTGTACTCTCTCTGGAAGCCACCTGGACCTGGATCCTGGAAGCACATAGTGTTTTGAGCTTCAAACCTTGAACAAAGAGAAATGCCAGTCCCCAGACAAACACACAGGGGCTTCCCAGTTCCAAAGGTGTCCTCACACATAGAAAAGCAGGTTCCTTTTAACTCCTTCCTCTTGTGTGTTCACACCTGGATGTTTCACATTCTCTCTTCCATTCCTTATTCCTATTCCTTTTCTGTTGCTGTGATATTTGCCTTCTTTTTGAAGGTAGATGTGTATGGAGGTACACATGTGACTATGGCTATCTGTCTGACATGTTTATCTAGAAGATGGATGGACACAAATCTTATAAAAAATGTTAGTCATAGTGTATGGTTCTTCACTAATAATTCCTGCAGTAGCTACTTCTTGAGTCCTTCCTCTGTGTGAAGCAGCGCTTACGTGTTCTGCTTCAGTGAGCTCATTTAATCCTCACAACTAATTGACACCATTAAGATGACAACAGTGAAGCTCAGAGACAGTAAGTGTCTGGCCATGGGTCACATTTGCAGAATGAAGAAGCCAGAACTCCACTGAACCTGACTCAGAGCCTATGTCCTTGGGCAGGATAAAGACTTCAGTCCTGAGCAGATAGCTCTTGGCTTTTCTGATGCCATCTCACTAGGTAGAGTTGCTCCTTTTGTTTTTCTTTCTTTCTTTTTTTTGGGGGGGGGGTCGGGTCGTGGGACCTAAACTTTGGGCCGGGGCACTGTCCCTCAGCTCTTCAGCTCAAGGCTAGCACTCTACCACTTGAGCCACAGCACCACTTCTGGCTTTTTTCTTTTTGCTTATGTTGTGCTAAGGAATCGAACCCAGGGCCTCAGGCATGCAAGGCAAGCACTCTACCACTGAGCCAACTTCCCAGCCCCTCCTTTTGTTTTTCTAATCATGTGTATGCCGATATTTTTTGCCTGTCTTCTACAGTTGTCACAAATTTTCTCTGATCCTCTATTCTGCCCTGACTCTGGAGCTGTCATAGCTCCAATCCTTGAGATGTAGCTGTAAGATGTGTCTACAGAGATGAAATGGCAAGAGCTGGGGCTTTAGCTACAGTTGAAATATATCACTGCCACACACCAGAGTTTCCAGAGCTTAATCTGTACTACTTCTGGCCTATGCACTGCCCCAGACATAACATGGTCACTTTAATATCAGCTTGGGAAAAAGCAATGTTTACCTGCTGGTCATTCCTAGGCCAGGGAAAGAAAAGGAGGCAAGAGGGAGGAGGAACGGGCTGTTACCTGCAGTCTGTGGGGGTGGGGGGTGCGGTCCATCCTCTGATGCAGCTAGGGCTTCCAGAGCCTGAAGGGTGGACACCAGGGCATCATCAAGCTCCTGGGCATGATCTCGGACAGTCCGGGTCTGCACACTGTCAATCAGGGTCACTGGTATCTCATCATACAGGAGCCCATGCAGGTGACGTCCTTGCTCCTGACTCTGGACAGCCCTGCGCTTGGGATCATCCTCATCAGAGCTGTTGTCTCGGAAACCAGGGGGTGGGGCAGCAATGGCAGGCAACAGAGAAGTTGTCTCATCTTCTTCTTCTTCTTCCTCCTCACTCCCTGGTGGTGGGAGGGACATCAAGTCTACCATATTGTCAGGAGTGGTGCCTGGCCTCCCACTTTTGCGAGGGCCCAGCTGTTCCTGGAGTTTGGCTTTGCACGAGTCACAGTAGAAATTCAGGGCTTCAGCCCCAAGGGAATTGTCCAAGGTATATGACCGGGCCCTGCTGGCACAAGGCTCATGGTCTAGGCTGGCTGCATCAAAGTCATCAGGTACTACCTCATAACCTTGGCCAGAACTTTTGGATGTGGGGTCAGACTTGGTCCGGGGCCTGGTCTCTTCAAAGAAGATTAAGTTCTCATTGACATCTGTCCGGTTTTCCTGCTCCTTCCTTTGTTCCCGCATGTGGAGGTAGCAGAAGCTGACAAGCTCAGAGTCGGCAGGCGGGGGCGTGCAGCGGCTCGACTTCCTGGGGCTGGTGACCACGCTGCCCACATAACTACTCTCCTTTTTCCCCAGGTGGCCCCCAGTGACAGGGCGGTGGGCGCTGTGCATGTAATCTAAATGCAGAGAGAGAATCAACAAATGAGCCTGCTGTTGGAAATCGGGGCAAGCTGAGCTCACCTGGCAACTCTGGCCTATATGTATGCAGCACAGTGGGGTGGCTTAACTATTAGAGATTACAGGGAGGGGAGTTGATAGACCATGTCTTGGCTGACCTGAAGGTAGTATAGAATCTAATGGCCAGAGCTGTGACAGTCCTACCACCTCTGAAATGGCAGGCGATGTGGGAATGATGTCGAACATCTTGCTGTGTGGGCATTGCTAGACTCTTATTGGATATGTCTGATCTGAGAAGTCAGCTGTAAACATACTTTTTTTGGGGGGGGGGTCCGGTCGTGGGGCCTGAACTCTGGGCCTGGGCGCTGTCCCTCAGCTCTTCAGCTCAAGGCTAGTGCTCTGCCACTTGAGCCACAGCGCCACTTCCGGCTTTTTTCTTTTTGCTTATGTGGTGCTGGGGAATCGAACCCAGGGCCTCAGGCATGCAAGGCAAGCACTCTACCACTGAGCTACCTTCCCAGCTCCAGCTGTAAACATACTTAAGGAGACTGGATTTGTTTTAAGTTTCCTTGAGAAAGATTCCATGCCTGTCCTCAACCCTTCTGAGGGCCAATCCAACTGCCAACTCAGTAGCTCTCCTGTTACTTGGATCTTTTCTAACTCAAGGAAATAAACCTAACAAGTTACTAATGCTGTATGGAGAAAGTGTTAACAGTTTGCATTCCATAGAGGGCCAATTTGAGAGAAACTCTAAAAGAACAGATTTCTGGGCATCTGGTCAGTAAAGTGTAAAGGAGGTATTGCAGGATATGTTGGATGGCAGGGGTTGGGATATTCTCTGTCCTTAAGATTCTTCAAAGTTGGGCTGGGAAGGTGGCTCAGTGGTAGAGTGCTTGCCTTGCATGCATGAGGCCCTGGGTTCGATTCCTCAGCACCACATAAGCAAAAAAAAAAAAGATTCTTCAAAGTTTATTACTTTCCTGTACTCAAGCAGGACAGCCCCTGCCTGGTCCAAATACATGTGGCAAAATCATTGGGATCAACAGTTCTTGATGGTAGGTAGTATATCTGAGAACTACCCAGAGAAGATGTTTTATCTGTGAATGGTTTCTCTCTCACTCTGTTTTGGGACCCCTTTCCATGTAACCTGTGACAATGTGAACCTGCTCTTTTATTAGCACACAGATGACAAGCCAGCACTAAAGTAGGCTAAATTTATTACAATTGATTCCTTTCCATCCTACAAGGAAGGTATTATCACCACCCCCATTTTTTGCAGAGGAAGAAACTGGCTCACATGGTTCTGAGATTTACCTAATGTCACAAGTATCATAAGTGGTGATCTGGATTTGCATACAGATAAGAGAGATTTCAAAATTCATGTTTGTGCCAGGTGCTGATAGCTCACACCTGTATTCCTAGCTACTCAGGAGGCTGAGAGCTGAGGATTGTGGGTCAAAGCCAGCCTGGGCAGGAAAGTCCATGAGACTCTTATCTCCAATTAATGACCAGAAAACCGGAAGTGGCACTGTGGCTCAAGTGGTAGAGGGCTAGCCTGGAGCTGAAGAGCTGAGGGACAGTGCCCAGCCCAGAATTCAAGCCCCACAACCGACTAAAAGATAATTTATGTTTGTTTTTCATGCCAATTCTGGGGCTTGAACTCAGAGCTTGTGTGCTATTCTTGAGCCTTTTTGCTCAAGGCTAGTGTTCCACCACTTGAGGCACAGCTGCACTTCCAGCTTCTTGGTGGTTAAATGGAGATAAGATCCTCGTAGATTTTCCTGCTTGGGTTGGCTTTGACCCTTGATCTTTAGATCTCAGTATCCTGTGTAGTTAGGATGATAGGCTTAAGCCACCACTGCCCAGTAAAACTTATGTTTTAACCTTTAACCTGTAGCCCATTATAGTGATAAAAGTGTTGGAAAAGAAGACTTCAAATTGCCTTTCAAATTTCAGTGACAAATGCTTGCAATCCCAGCATTTGAGAGACTGAGGCAGGATGACCTCAAGTTTAAGGTCAGTCTGAGCTACAGACTATCTCTATCAGTGTTGCCTTTCACAAAATTCAGCACTCAGAGCTAGCATGTAATAACAGAGCTCATAAACACAGCAAACAAAAACAGATGGAATTGAATTGAAGGGACAAATATGCAATTCAACAGTAGTTGGAACATTTAATACTTCACTTTTATAATGTATAAAACAAGAGCAAATCAGTAAGGAAACAGAGGATCTGAACTATTACCACTAGATGTAACAGAACTCCATAAAACATCCTATGTACTTAGCAGAATATATGCTAGCAGAATATATATTCTAAGTGTACATTGCCCAGGACAGACAGTATATTTAAACATCAAATAAGTCTCAACAGATTCAAAATGAATAAAATGACACAAAGTATATGTCCTAAGCACAGTAGAATTAAAAGACAATAATAGCTGGGAAGGTGGCTCAGTGGTAGAGTACTTGCCTTGCATGCATGAGGCCCTGGGTTCAATTCCTCAGCACCACATAAACAGAAAAAGCTGGAAGTGGCGCTGTGGCTCAAGTGGTAGAGTGCTAGCCTTGAGCTGAAGAGCTGAGGGACAGCCCCCAGGCCCAGAGTTCAAGCCCCACAACCAAAATAAATAAATAAATAAATAAATAAAAGAATAATAAAAGCATAGGCAGGTAGAAATTAAGGCATACACACACACACACACACACACACACACACACACACACACACACACAAACATCCAGGGCTAGAGGTATAGCTCATTAGTAGAATGTATGCTTATCATACAGTGGGCCCTGGATTTAATCCCCAGCACTGAAAGAAATGGAATATTGTAGACCAATATTTGGGAAAGAAACTGACTAGCAATTTAAACCTGGCCCCCTTTCTCGAAAACAAGCTCTTTTAAACACAGAAAGAAACGGAAACAAAACCCACAAGAGGAAAAAATACTCTTGAGCTTATTCTATGTGGCCAGCATTAACCTTGATACCAAGCCCTGACAGAGAATATCAAAAGAAAGCTATAGAACAATATCTTGAGAGTAGAATATCTCATGAATAGAGACACAAAGTTAGTTAACAACTAGTAGGAAATGAAGTTCTGCCATACATTGTAGAGCACATGGGCAGCAAAGATGGCGCTGAGAGGGAGTTGAGTGGGCAGAGCCCAATTGCCTTAAGTTCAGTGAGTAACCAGCCCATGGAAGCTTAGGTGCATGATAGGGTGTGACCTTGACAGTGATTGGTTCCTCTTCCTCCCCTGCCATGCCACCCGTTCCTTTTTTGCTTTAAAAAGGGCTGCTCTGTGTTAATAAACGAGTTTCTTCCTGCTTGACTTGACTCCCCGCTGTGTCTGATTGTCTCCCGGGCTAAGGGAGGCTGGGGAACCGGCGAGCTGCCGCAATTACCTTTCCTCGGACCCGTCTGTCTTTCGTGGGACAGACGAAGACCCAACAATACATTAAAAGAATTACATACCATTACAAAAGGAGAATTTGTTGCAGTGATGCAGTCAGTTAACATCAAAGGTAAATTAATGTAATACACCATGTTACCAAAGGATCAAAATTACATGGTTGCCAAACATGATGCATGCCAGTAACCCCAGCTACTCAAGAGGTGAAGATAGGAGGATCTCAAGTTTGAGAACAGCCAGTACAGAGTTTACCTAGACCCCATCTTAAGAAAAAAATGAAAACCAAAGAAAGAGGCTGGATACTGATGGCACATGCCTGTAATCCTAGCTACTCAAGAAACTGACTTTACAACTTGGGGGGGGGGGAGAGATTGTTTTCAAGAAAGAGTGGCAGGTAGGGGAAAAACAAAGGAGGGGATAATAATACTCAATAAGTAATGTACCTTACTCATGTAACTGTAACCCCTCTGCACAGTATCTTTACAAATATAATATATATAAAGAAACAGGGCTGGGAAGGTGGCTCAGTGGTCGAGTGCCTTGCATGCATGAGGACCTGGGTTCGATTCTTCAGCACCACATAAGCAGAAAAAGTTGGAAGTGGTACTGTGGCTCAAGTGGTAGAGTGCTAGCTAGCCTTGAGCTGAAGAGCTGAGGGACAGCACCCAAGCCCAGAGTTCAGACCCCATGATTGACCAAAAAGAAAGAAAAAAGAAACTGAGATCTGAGGATCACTGTGATTCAAAGTTAGCCCAGGCAGGAAAATCTGTGAGATTTTCATCTCTAATTAACCACCAAAAAGGCAAGAAGTGGAACTATGGCTCACGTGGTAAAGTGCCGACTTTGAGAGAGAGCAGGAGTTCAAGCATAGTATGTACATGTATACACACACACACACACACACACACACACGAGTAATGAGGTACTGACATATCTTACAATTTAAATGACTGTTGAAAACAGTCTAAGTAAAAAAAGCAAGCCACAAAGTAATATATACTAGATGAGTTCATCTATTTAAAGAAAACATTCAGAATAGGCAAAGCTATGGAAACAAAAATTAGAACAATGACTGCTAAGGGGTGAGTGGCAACTGGGAGGACATGGGAAATAATTGCTAATGCATATTGTTTTCTTTATGAATGGTGATAGATGCATACCTTGTGGATATACTAAATACATACATTAAAAACATTGAGCTGGGTGATGGTGGCTCATGCCTATAATTGTAGCTACTCAGGAGGCTGAGATCTGAGGATCATAATTCAAAGCCAACCTTGGCAGAAAAGTCCATGAGACTCTTTTCTCCAATAAACTACAAAAACAGTGGAAGTAGAGCTGTGGCTCAAGGTGGTAGAGTGCTAGCCTTGGGCATAAGAGTCCAGGGACAGTGCCCAGGCCCTGAGTTCAAGCCCCAGGAATGGCAATCAACAACAAAACTAACCATTGAACTATATATATACTTTAAATGAACAAATCGTATGGCTTGGAAATAATAGCCAAATAAATCTATATGTTAGAAAAGCACCGTATTGGCCCTGTCATGATTTTTATGTTCTTCTGAGGAAAAAAGTTAAACAT